TGCTACCTGCTAACCCCTAGCCACAAACCGCTAACCAGTATCTGCTACCTGCTAACCCCTAGCCACTAACCACTATCTGCTACCTGCTAAGCCCTAGCCACAAACCGCTAACCAGTATCTGCTACCTGCTAAGCCCTAGCCACTAACCACTATCTGCTATCTGCTAAGCTCTAGCCGCTACCCAATAACAGGCGTAAAACTTATATGATGATAAAAAGAACTTCAACTTTTGTCATATTTATATTTATAAAAACACAAACAACAAAATAAGCAGAAACCGATGAAAATATGAGACCTGAACGTGAAGAGCGTGGAGGGTTCATCCTCTGGAGAGAAGGAACAAAGTCTCGGGCGGTTCTATTTAGTTTACTAGTGACCCGTGTGGGGCTGGAGGTAGAACGTCACTACGGTTCATCCTCTGAGATCATGACAACAGGTAAAAACAGGTGACCTTCCCTCCTCGGCCCTGCAGAGTCTTGCAGGACCTCAGCACCCATGTGGCCAAGGTGCTGGGCTCCTGCGGACACTTCTACGCCGTGGAGTACCTCTCGGCCGGCCACGCCTGGGACCAGAACATCTTCTCGCTGGAGGGGGTGGAGGTCTCCGGGGCGCGGGCCAGGTGGAGCTCCAGGGAGAAGGTGCAGCGCATCGCGCTGAGCTTCCTGGACATGGTGCGCCACTTCGACCACGACTTTGCCCACAAGCTGCACCTCTGCGACATCAAGCCGGAGAACTTCGCCATCAGGAAGGACCTGACGGTGAGTCGCGGGGTCTCCCTCCAAAAACACAAAGAAGAACATTTACACGAGAATAAAAAGTCAAATGTTCTTTTTGCGCTTCAACAATAAAAGGAAAAACAACCAACCGCTCCTCTTTATTGGTCTTTATCCTGTGAACGTTGTGGATCATCAGCTCACTGTTTATGTGGAAAGTTGTTTTTTAAACACAAAGCTCTGTTTAACAAAACCTTCCATCTTTACGTCTTTTCTGACTGTGAACAGCAAAAAACTGCTTCCAGAAGAGTCAACTGAGTGACAATAGTAATACGTGGAGACCTTCATGTCCCCGCGTCCTTGTCCCTCAGGTGGTTGCCATAGACGTGGACATGGCGTTCTTCGAGCCCAAGATGAGGGACATTCTGGACCAGAACTGCAGCAGCGATGACGACTGCAACTTCTTCGACTGCTCGTCCCGCTGCGACCGGGACAGACGGAGGTGCAGCGCGGTGCGCAGGAACAGCAACCTGCAGGTGGGACGGGACGGGGACGGGACCTGGGCGGGGACCATCAAAGGCTTTCATTGTTCAGGTTTCTATAAAATCACAATTATTGAAACCTCAAAACACAGAAAAGAGTTTAAAGCTGTTGAATTATTAAAAACATTACATGTGATTTTAATTATTATTGTTATTTAATGGGTCTTTACTCGTTTGTTAAAAATAATGTTTTAGTATAGTATAGTATCCCTCAATAGTAATGTTTACTAAAAGGTTGAAAATATATAGTTAATAAATTTTTTATACATTAAGAAATAATTCTGTTGTGTTTTAGATATTTAGTTTCTTTAATTTTCAGAATACATATGAGAAATATTTTTTTTGTTAAGTTATTATTATTATTTCCTCTTTTAATAAATATTTTTGTTTACAGTGAAAATTAATATTTTTGTTTACAGTGAAAATGAAGATATTTGTAATTTATTTCAGCATATGTTTATTGTTTGGTCCCATATTTAATTCTTTAATCTCAGGAAAAATGACTCAAATAGAATAGATTATATATCGTAATAATAAAATACTAAAGAAAAGTATTTTATTATAAAAATATCTATTTTTTAAATTCCATCTATCAGTTTAATAACGAATTAGAAGATTAAATGACATTAATTAATAAGACAATGTCTTACAAAAGTTTTATTTGCTTTATCGGTTTCAACATGTCAAAAACTTTATTTCCTTATTTAACAATTGAACTCGTTCGTATTAATCACTGATATGATGGCTGTTTTAAAGTCTCCATAATAAAAGACTCGTCTGTTTCACGTATTTAATTACACGTGAGTAAAAAGAGTCAGATCTGAGGTCTGCCGACAGGATGAGACGCTTTCATTCAACATTACACTTTTCTTTATTATCGCATTTGCAGAAGTGTGTTAAAATGTTCATTTTGTTCCCTAAATTTATCGCATAAATGCTTTTGAAGAATTAGATTTGGCATCCAATTCAAAGAATAAATTACAAATAGTTCGAGAAAGTTCTGCTTTTGCTTTGTGTCTTTTTCTATCTACATATTTACTTTTTTTATTGCTGTAATCAGTTCTCAGTTTTTTTATACTGAACTATAAGTTCTCTGTAAATAAAGTAATAATAATAATAATAATAATAACAACAATAATCCAAGGATAATAATAAATCAGCTGTTGTTCTTACAACTAAAATGGACCATATAACATTACATTATGATACAATTAGAATTTTGCTATTGGTTGAATTATTACCATCAGTAGGAGTCAAAATTAAATTGGAATTGAATTTGTGTATTTTGATTAAAATGTGTTGAATTTGAATTTAAATTCTCAATTTAACACAACGTCTCATTAAATGGAAAATTGATAAAATCACATTACAATCTAAAATGTTAAAATTATTGCACTTTTTAAATAATCCAGATATTAACACACAGAATACCTTGAATTATTCTCTTATAATAAGTATTCTATTCACAGCTTATTATAATTATTCTATTACAATAAGTTACTCTCTGACTAGTCGTAGCGAGGACCCTAATAATAATGAATTAATGAAAATAATATGAGAGTATCATGATAATAATTTTACTTTCAATAACGATAAAAATAATAATAATAACAACGAGCCTCCACATCATCTGTAACTCGTCAGACTTCGGAGGAGACAAAGCACATCACCACCTCCGTCTCCACGACAACGGTGGGACAGACTCTCATCGCCGCTCCGGTGTCGCACGCCACATGATACGAGATACCTGCATTCATGAGAAGAGAACATGAGACGAGGGGTTGCACAAACATCTGAGGAAGAGGAGCGAGAGGAAGGCCTTCAGAATGAAGCAAAGGACACAAGGACGTGATTAGGGAGGACAAAAGGTGACGAGGGAAGAAGGGAAGATAACAGGAGACAAAATAATCAAATGATGAGATGAAGAGAATAAAATAAATGAAAACCACCAGAGAGAATAAGGAGTCAAGCTCAAAAGCTTGTTTATTTCAAACATGAAATAAAATGAAAAACCAAAAGAGAAAAACGAATCAAAGATATAAAACAACTGAGGAACAAATAATACTTAAAAAATGATCAGACGAGAGGAGATGAACAAATGAGACAAAAAGAGGAACAAAGGAAGAGAAGAAGAAAGACGCCGTCGACACGGTGATGACACGCTAACGTCCTATTGGTCCAGAGGGCCCCCCCGCCTGTCAATCATCTCCTCAGAGAAAGGAGGCATTGTTTTTATCGTGTGTCTCACATTCATCTTTTCTGTTTCCTCCCTCTACATGTCCCCTTGTCTCCTCCCTTCTTTCCTTTCCTCTCTACCTCTTCCTTCAGCCTTTCTTCTCATTCCATCCTCCACTCCTTCTCTTTTCTCTCAAATGTTTCTCTCCGCTTCTTCTCAATTAATCTGTGTGCTTCCTCCTCCATCATCTCCTCCCCCTCCTCCATCATCTCCTCCCCCTCCTCCATCATCTCCTCCCCCTCCTCCTCCTCCATCATCTCCTCCTCAGGTGATCTGTGAGAAGATCTTCCGGCCCTGGTTTTCTCCGACTCTCCTCGGGTCGAAGGCCGGTCTCCCTCTGCAGGTCCGACTTTTTCTAGTTTTAAATTGATCTAAAATCTTCCATAACAGATTGAAGACGATCCTCATCTGAAGTTCTACCAATATTCATATTGATGTTCAGTCTATTATTATAATGAGACTAAACTGATTAGGTGACATGTGATCTTTGAACCTGAGGTGAGTGTCCCCAATCCCCTCTGACCTTTGACCTCTGCCTAAGTAGCAAAAGAATAACTATTACACAGAAGTTCCAAAGTAGGTTCCCCTGGTTTTGAGCTTTATTTCATAAAGTGGGCGGAGTTTAGTCAGTTAGGTATGTCAGACATGAACAGCGTGTGTTGACCCGTCCATGCTCCTCCACAGACCTCCTCCCTGAAGCTACGTCAGCAACGGGTGGCCACCTACTGGACTTAACCCTTTCCTCCATGTTTGCCTCCACCAGGTGGAGCTGCAGCGGGCGGTGCAGGAGTGCTCTGAGACGGAGGGTGGAGGCGTAGAGGAAGACGGAGGAGGAGAGGCGGGGGGCCGAGGTCATAGCGTCCACCTGCGCCTCCTCAGCGTCCTGACCCGCCTCCTCCGGGAGGGAGGGGCCTCAAGGGAGGAAGGCGGGGCCAGGGAGGAGAAGGGCCACACAGCGCTGAACTTCTGAGAACTGAACTGAACCACCTGGTTTGAGTCCTCAGCGAGATGTTTTCCATCCAACGGGTCATTTGTGGTTCCTCTTCAGGATCGTTTTTGACCTCCCATGAAGTATAAATCTGTCCTGTGAGGCTCCACAGGAGGGAAAGACACTCCGTCCAGCAGCTTCAGGGTGACCGGGACCGTGGACCCTCTCTGCTGTCTGGTTCAACCTCTGGAGAGAAGGACTGACCACCAGCAAATACTAGACCGTGTTCTTCAGGAGGCCTCAAGGTTCCTCTCCCCGGAGGAGCATGTTCTTTGACCCTTGGTGTGATGATGTCACTCACGTATTAATCCGTCATTAGGACACTTCATGAGGACAATCTACTCACGTTAAAACAAACCTCCACAACCAGGCAGAGAACGTGTCATCATGCTGAAGTAGAGCTGTACACGTGGTGTCATGTGACACCTTCTCCACAACCAGGAAGAGAACGTGTCATCATGCTGAAGTAGAGCTGTACACGTGGTGTCATGTGACACCTTCTCCACAACCAGGAAGAGAATCATGTGATATGTGACACAACTCGGCTTCATCTCACTCCACAGAAGGTCACCTGTGGTTTGTTCAGCTGAGGATTAATTCTCTGTGTATGAACACACAGTCTGGACCTTCTCGCCGCCTTCGCGAAGAAGGGATCCTCTGTTTCATGAACTTGTTTCTTTAAGTGTCTGAACGTAAAGAAGCTGAACCTCACTCTAGATGTGAAGGAGGAGGAGGAGCCTTCATCCACAGAAGACCATCTCCATCTTCAGAAGACCATCTACATGAGAGTAGAACCTCCTTCTGATGAGTGTGAACTAAAGCTTCCATTTATATGTGTGTGTGTAACTTCTTCACAGGTTTAAAAACTGACTTAAATACAGTTATTCTCAGAGTGTCTCTGATTTCATCTCCGTGTCGACAGACTATAACAGAACTAGCCCCCCCACAGAGCCTCCTTCACCACGTCTCGGTGAGAGGACTTCTGAGGACCAGAAGATGACCTCATCACAGCTGCTTCTGCTTTAGGAGACGTCGTCTCAGCTGGACCGAGTAGAGACACGTGAGAACACAATAGGTTCCCCGAGTAGCATAAGCCTGCTGAGACAGTGGTCTCCTGGGTGAAGGTCCAGTCTGTCAGGACATGGCGCGGATCCAGATGTTGAGCCCTTTGCCAGGGGTTGGGGTTAGCGGCACTGAAGGCCCCGAGCGAGCAGGAAGTACTTAAGGAGAGTCTGAACTCGTGGACCTCGGAGCGTGGAGACAAGTTGAGGCTGGAGCTCCTCAGGTCGCCTCGTCTCTGCTTCATCTTTGTGTTTGACTGGCTGTAAATGGACGGGATGAAACTCTGGGATGAGCTTTAACTGGTTTAACTTCACCCCCCCAGGGTTTATCTAGTCTCTGCATTCCGCTCACCACTTACCAACGTCTCTCTTTTACCTTCAGGATGTTCTGTCCCGATAATGATCTGCTTCCTGAATCTCTACACTGCGTCAGTGTAGTCACCATGACAACCCCAATTGTTGGAGAGGTGGACATGGTCTATAAGAGACGTGTCAATCAGTGTGTAGCCACGCCCCTAAAGCATCCCCTGCTTCATGGTCTATAAGAGACGTGTCAATCAGTGTGTAGCCCCGCCCCTAAAGCATCCCCTGCTTCATGGTCTATTAGAGACCTGTCAATCAGTGTGTAGCCCCGCCCCTAAAGCGTCCCCTGCTTCATGGTCTATTAGAGACCTGTCAATCAGTGTGTAGCCCCGCCCCTAAAGCATCCCCTGCTTCATGGTCTATTAGAGACCTGTCAATCAGTGTGTAGCCCCGCCCCTAAAGCATCCCCTGCTTCATGGTCTATTAGAGACCTGTCTCTTAGATTTAAGTCGCCGTGTTTGAGTTGGCGTCATCTTAAATAAAAAAACACGTTGAAACGTAACACACACACACACACACACACACACACACACACACACAGGAGGCTTCCTGCCATCTGGCTTCAGTTAGTCTGAGATCAGCAGACTTCAAAGGACAGAGGTGTGTGTGTGTTACCTGTGCAGACCCGCACTACAAAAACTCCGACCCTGATGCCTGATGCTTTGAAGCGGTTCTGTGATATTGGCAGTGGGGGAGGTCTACTTCCTGAAGCCATCACTGACATCACTAAACGCGTTGACGTGTTCTCACCTGAAGACGCCTCAGAAACAAGCAGACTCCGGCGTCCTGCCGCAGGGCCTTTGGGCAAGGCTGCAGGTCTTAACTGGTCCACCTTGCAGGAGTAGATGTTGTCTCTGCTGTGTCTCTGTGGAGGAAACAGCAGGAGCTCACAGAGAACCGATGTGACGCATCGACAAATGTAGATTTAACCTCCAGATCTCCAGACCACGTGTCCCTGATGTGCTCCAGATGTTCCTGCTGAGGTCCTCAGCTCTGGAGTCCGGTGATTGACAGGAGAGCTCCCAGAGGCTCCTCCTACAGGAGCCGACGGCAGAAGGTCACCATGAGGTCAAACCAGCAGTTGGCGTGGCAGTCGCCTCGGGCGCCGCTCTGACTGCGGACGGAGTCGAGTTTCCTCAAAGTTGAAAAGAAGAAACAAAGATCCTCATGAACCAGAAACCTCTTGATTCGGTTTTGTGAAAACAATTCTCGTTCCCACATTTATGAAACATTAAACTTTACCGATCTGCCAAGCGATCAATAGAATGTTTGATCCCAGAGGATCGTCTTTGGGGTTTGACTTGATCCACACAACTGACGTGAGGCTCCTTTCATTTGAACATTTCGTCTGGTGTAGTTTCTGACTGAGCTTCACTTCCTGTTTGTGACGAGTTCCTCTCGTTGATCAATGTCCTCCTCCAGGAGATACCTCAGGCCGGGGAGGAGGACATTTGTCTTCGTGCAGGACAGACACATTATCGATGAGGACTATTAATCATAGTGTGGGGGGAATGCAGCTGAACTCATGGAGGGTTGTTTAGGGCTCGCTGCATTGGTCAAATAAGCCTTTATTCTACGTGGCAAATGCATCCAAACAGTGGTACTGGGAGGAAACCAGCAGAGCACAGTGGTACTGGGAGGAAACCAGCAGAGCACAGTGGTACTGGGAGGAAACAGCGTCAGCTGTCACGGCAGTCACAGCCAGAGAAACTTGAGTTGGAGCTGAATTGTGTGCAGTGACCAGCAGGGGGCGACTCCTCTGCTCCCATAGGCGTCTATGGGGAAAGGACTGTTTATTTGTGTGCTAAATAACAGCAGACATAAAAGCTGAAGCAGACAAAGGGGGCAGACTGGGGGAGGAAAGAGAGACGGGTGGAGTGTGACGGAGGTCAAATGAATCAGCTCCACCTCACAGGAGAGCAGGAATCAGACACGAAGGAAATGTGAGAGCTGAGGTGATCGGCTGTGATCCAACGAAGCAACGAAGCTCTGAGGAGGGAAAAGAAGCTCAAATTAAACTCACAATCCTTCACTCACATTTAAGTTTTAGTGTACAGAACATTCTGTGTGACCCACACACACACACACACACACACACACACACAAAGAGCCTTTGTGTTGGTCTGGACTGGATTCTGCTCCCAGCAGCCGGCCAACTTCCCCACTGGAGCATTTGAGGAATTAGGCGGTGAAGGAAAGAGGAGGCGGTCCACATGGACCCAGAGCTGCAGAATCAAGCCGCCCAGCAGAACTCGTCCTTCCTGAGGAGCTGAAGGACACTGAGATCATGAATAAAGCAGTGCATTAAAAGTAGGTTCTGTATTTATCACACATACATGTATCATCGCATATTCATCATCAAACGCAGTCATTCTGCTGCGTTGAGGAGAGACCCTGGATCGGGGTGTACTGTCCCTTTAAGTCTCTCGCATTAAGAGCCTCTTAACACGGGAGACGTGAGCGTCACACACTCTGCAGCTGTGTGTGTCTGTGTGTCCTCTCAGACGGGACTCGTGGGTCCAGCAGATGTTTCACACACACACAGAGAGACTGATGAAACACCTGAGAGCCAGCGGTGACCTCACCTGGAGGGAATCTGACACACACACACACACACACATAATGGAATTCTGGATCAGCTTCCCACAGCCCAGCGTAGAGTTTCCTGACGGGGGGGTTGGGAGCTATCAGAGTGCATTGTGGGAAACATTGGGCTTCACACAGAGCTGAAGACATGAAAAATGATTTGACTGCTTTTCTTTAGGAGAGAAAAACCTCCTCTGACATAAAAAAAGATTTAAGTGGGTCAACATGAGGTCGTCATTCCTGGTTACACACACACACACACACACACACACACACACACACACACCACATGCCTGGGGAGCAATTAGGGGTTTGGTGTCTTGCTCAGAGACACTTGACTTGAGACATGGGGCAGCCAGGACTCGAACCACCAACCTTGCGGTTCCCGGTTCTACCCCCTGCGTCACGACGACACACACACAACAAATATAGATCAGTACCTATACATATCATTTGTTATGACATTGTACAAAATGATTCTCATCCCTCTTCAGTCAGCAGTGTGTGTGTGTGTGTGTGTGTGTGTGTGTGTGTGTGTGTGTGTGTGTGTGTGTGTGTGTGTGTGTTGAGCAGCTACATAAAGAACACACGTAAAACAAAAACATGACAACAAAACGCACTCACTTCAAGTAGAAAATATAGAATATATTTCAGCATTTTAATATCATTTTACATTTTTTAACAAACAAGTTAAATATTGTTATATAATAGAGATAATTATCTATAGAATAAGGACTGTTTAAAATTCCAAACAATTTTTCAAAGAAATAAAAAGAAGTGAACTGTTAATGTGGTTTAATTTAACATATTAGCAAGAAGCCACTTAAGAGCTGCTGAACGAAAGAAGTAAACGTGCCGGTGACCTTTAACCCCTAAACATCTGGTGTCTCAAATCAAACAAACCCGGCGACACCAAAAAGAACAAAGAGCAAACGTGTCACTTTGAACATCTCACCGAGCAGATTAGATAAAGATGGACACGTTTCACATTGAATCCATAAACAAGCCGCTCTTAATTATATGTGTGAGTGTGTGCGCGTGTGTGTGCGTGAGTGCTTGTGTGTGTGAGTGAGTGTGTGGTGTGCGTCTCAGGCCTCAGCCAGACAGCTCATGACCTTCAGCATCAGCTCCCCCTTCTTGTCTTTAGGTTTGACCGTCACTCCTCGACCCTTCAGCCACAACAGCAGAGAGACACAGCTCAGCCTGGACAGCTGAGGGAGAGGGAGACGGGTGAGTGTGAGGGGGGAGACGGGTGGGTACGAGCTCTAGGGCGGGGCTACACACTCATTGACAGATCTCCAGCACGGCTGGTGAGTGTTTTTGTCCTGAAACACTTTCACTGTTTGAACTTCATGATCAATACGGGGACATGAAGGCGCAACAAGAAGTCGTTGGTAAGAAGAGGAAGAGGAGGGAGGAAGCACAAACAAAGAAGTGAAGGTCTCCTCACCTGGTTGCTTCTGGCCATCTGCTCCACGTCTCGTGTCTCTGATCTGGGATTCTTCTGCTTGGACTCGACTCTCTGGAAGAACAAAACCATGTGACAGCTCGTCGTCATTTGTTAAACTTTAAAACACTTAGTGAGCAAGTTAGCATAGCATCCGTAGCTAACAGCAGGTCTGTGCCGCTCCACGAGGAATCGCACAGAAGGACAATTCTAAACTCTAAACTGTATGGATCGTATTCGCAGCTCAGCTCTCATTTATCGTCTAGAACTAAAAGCAAACCCGGCTGACACGGAGGAGTGAAATCAGTGGATTTAACTCCTCCGTTGAGGGAGTTTAGACGACGAGGAGCCTTCACCTCCCGCAAAACACCAGCACAGCGAGGTGCTGCTGTGAGAAGACAAACACCACTGGACGGCTCTCAGGCGTTGGCTCGACATATGATAGAACATGAGATGAGAAGGTCTCTCTCACCCGTCGGATGCTGCTGGAGCTCTCCTTGATGGAGGCGTCAGAAGGTGGAGCGGCTAAAGGGTGTTTGACAACGTCAGAGGGTGGTGCAGTTGAGGGACGTTTGAAGCAAAAATCAGAAGGTGGAGCGGCTGAAGGACGTCGGTTGGAGATGTCAGAAGGTGGAGTAGCAGTGCTTCTGGACCTGGGTCTGGGGATCTCCGCCTTCGGAGCCAGGAGGAACCCGGGTCTGGGCCTTGAGGCCGGACTGAGGCTGCCGATGCGTCTGAGTCCCGGCGGAGGAGGTTCGTGGGGTCGGTTGAAGCAAGCAGCGCCTGACACAGCAGGAGGCGGGAGGCACGCCGCCGCCGGAGGGGAAACCAACGAAGAAGAAGTGGCGGTCGTCGTCCTGAAGGCAGGCAGTGTGACCCTCCCCCTCTCCTCCCCTCGACCAATTAGCTGCTCCCTCTGCTTCTGGAGCCGCAGCAGCGCCACGTTGACGAGGCGAGAAGGACACTTGTTCCTGAAGATGGGAACCAGCTGCGTGGAGGACATCACGGGGGGGAGAGGCGGGGGGACCGAGGAAGAGGAGGAGGAGGATGATGATGGAGGCTCTCCTCTGCACTCCTGACTTTGCATCAGTCTGTTACCCAGAAGCCTCTGGGCTCCGTCCTGCCAGGTGAGAGGCTGCGACCCGAAACCGGGCTTCACGGCTCGGAGGGGAAGAGGAGGGGGGGGCGGGGGCAGCTGACTGAGGACCGGCCTGATGGAGGATGAGGTGGCGCTCAAGTTAATCTGCTCACCACCTGGCACCTGAGGAGGGAGAGGAGAGATACAAAAAGATGGAGACCATGTGATGTCCAGCTGATCTCCAGGCGTCGCCATGGAAACGCAGAATCAGAACAGTCCTTTCAACATCGTCCTCTGCGCTCGAATTAATACAACTGATTCCACACGATCAGAGACGTTAGTCGGTTTCTCCCTCCTCTTCCTCGGTGTGGCGATGCTGCCCCCCGGTGGTCACATGACACCATGACACCCCAAACGTGCAGAACAACAACCTGTGTACCTGTGGAGCGGCGGCGGGGCTCAGGCCCACGGTACGGTAACGGGGTTTCCCGCTGAGCGGCGCAGGGAAGCCGCACACGGAGCGCAGTCCGTCCCTTAGGACGGACAGGAAGTGGCACGGCGCCGCCTGAGGGCCGGCTCGGGGGCAGCGCTGCACGGGCTGCAGGCGGACGCAGCTCAGAGGGTATCTGCTCGGGGTCAAAGGGGCAACACGCAGCTTTTGCCACGCTTGTGTCTCAAGCAGAGTAATTACATACGTTTTTCTCTATGGTCTTGACTTTCAAACTAAAAGTCCTGCAGTTAATGTACAAAAAGTGGAAAGTTGAACCAAGCTTCACCAATGTAGGAAAAAAGGCTCAGTGTAATAAATATTAAACTATTCTGATTTTTCCATCCTCTCCTTGCTGCTCTGAGGAAATTTGATTTGAAATATTGTTTTGGTTATTGTTTTTGACGGAGGACTTTACCTCACATGAGGCATTCAAGGACCGCTGGAAAGTTCAAAATAACAATAACAATAACGTCGTCATGATGTTTAGTTTTGAAGGATACGTGAAGAGTCTCTCCCCCACCAGTCTAAAGTAGACGCTGCAGTAGACCACCTCTTCTTCAGCGAGGTCAGGGAGTCTGTAGCCGTACTGTAACACACAAACACACACACACACACAAACTTACTGTAGAAGCATGCTGAGGGTCTAAGGGACAACAGATGTAACTCAAAGAAGAGGTTACCATGACAACGGCTCTGGGTAGTTGTGTGTGTGTGTGTATGTACTGCGTGTATTCTTTGCGTGTCTGTTAGTATGTTGTGTACCAGGTGGTTCCAGTGGTCCTGCAGGTCTCTGTAGGTTCTGAATGGTCCGTCTCTGGGCAGCTGACGGCTGATGTTGATGATCTGACCTCTCTTCATGCTGCCAACAGACACACACAGACACACACAGTCTGGTTATTGAACACAGAAGAGCTGCAGCGCCCCCTGCTGCTCGCAGTCAGTCAACACAACCCGATTCTTTATCTGGTGAGAGAAGCTGCCAAGATAAATTTAATTAAATGAGTTATTATGCCGTTAAATGTACCAAAATAATATTTAAAAAGAATGTAGAAATTAATTGTAGAAGTAAAAAATATAAATGTATCATTTATTTATTTAAAAATAAAGAAATTAATTAACTAAAGGGAAAAGTAAAATACGTCAGGTAATAAATTCCAATGTTTTATTTTGATAATATCTCCCTTTCAGAATAAAACAAGAAGTGGAAATGCTGCTTTCTATTGCTTAACATGTTCGGTGGGAGATGAGAGTAAGTCTCAGTTGAAGACATCTGCATCGTGTCCTACCTGGGCAGGACGTGACACCACACGGCCCCCCCGGTGTCGAGGACGGAGTCCGGATCGGAGCAGAACCTCCTCAGGACCATCGGAGCAAAATCAAAGTCCTCCAGCTGCAGCATGAACAGACAGACAGACATCAGTTATTATTTTATAGTTTCTGTATGAGTCGCTGTTATGGTTATTTTGTGTGTCTCTGTGAATGCTGTTTGTAACTAAATGCTTAATAAATCACTCTGATTGGTGGAAGTCGGACCACGTTGGCTTCAACGCTGATGCACAGCTGACCCTCACTGGTAGTCAGCTCCAGGCCTGAAACACACACACACACACTTCTGTTTGTTTAGCCTTTCTATTATTTTAATTATTATTTAATTAATTAATCACGTTATTAATCAATTTATCAAGTTATGTTCATTTTTAATTAAGAAAATATTAATGTATATACATCATACTTGTTATTGTTTAATTATCAATTATTTTTTAATGGATTAAATATATTTTAGCACAAATAAATACACAAAAAATGTTTTCTAAGTAAATAAATACAATAGTAAAAGAAATGTAAATATGGAATCAAATTCAAACAGAAATATTAATGTCAAATTAATCATGTCAATTAATGTCATTCGTGAACTGAAACAGGACAAAGCGAGCTCACCGACGGCGTCCAGCCGCCCGTCCTCAGTCAGGAAGTCTTTCCCTGAGGACGAAGGGACACAACTCCAACAGAACTTAAATCACGTTGCCATGGACAACGTCTACCTGAACACGTTCTACAATTTAAAATCGGGGTAAGCGGTGTGTCCACTCGCAAACAGGGAGGAAAGGGGCGGGGCTTATCTCCAAGGAAACCGTCAACACGTTTGTTTCCTCCATCAACCATTAAAAGAAATATCTTCTGTTTCTGCTCAGCACTAGTTAGTGGAAGTCTCACTCATCCGCAGAATCTGATTATCAGATTACAATAAACGGACAAAAATGATGCCGATCTTTGAGACGACGAGTAAATCACCTTTCAAAAGTTAGTGTTGTGAATGGAGTCATGTTTGGATGTCAGAGGTCACATTGTGTGTCTGTGAGGTTCTGAACAATGTTCTTGTTTCTTTTTTAAATATCCTTTTCTTTTGGTTTGGATTGTTTTAATGGTTACATGTAAAGCACCTTGAATTGCCTTTTGTTTAAATATAATACATAATATAAATATATAAAAGAACAGTAAGGAAGATGACACGTCAGTGTTCACAGTTCCTTTAGATACCTGCTTTGTTTCTGAGAAACAGATTGATGAGTCTAGCTGAAGGTTTCATTGAAGTCTGTTAATGATCTATTCTGAATCTGCTCGTTTTAAACTAATCGGATGGAGCTGGGGATGCTGGTTGTGACCCAGGACGTAGTGCTGGACCCTCTAGGGGGAAGGGAAGCCAGACTGAGAGGGTTTCTGAAGGGGCCGTGGTGGCAGGAAACACTACCACGTTAGTCCACACGGGGCGACACAACCAACGCAACATAAAGGGAGAGCAGAAGAACACTCGGCCTCACCTGCGATCAGGTAGAGTCCAGCCTTGTTCCAGCCGGGAGCCAGGCGAGTGATCAGAGAGTAGGACAGACAACACTGGAGGACGTGAGGAGACACCACCTGAGGACAGCCCAGCTACACACACAACACACTTTCCATCAACTAAAAGCAAGCTGAACTGTTTCACAGTGGTCCAGCGAGGACACATCTGTCCGTCCTCTCACCCGCAGACTGCGTCTCTGTCCAAACACCTGCAGGATTCCTCTCTGGTAGAAAGGGATCTAGGGAAGGAGACAAGTGCGCATCAGACGGCACAAGGCCGCCAGACAAGGTCGCTAATAACGATGAGGGATAATGTGTATATGCATGTGTGTATCTGTGAGTCCTTGTGCGTGTTTGTTTACGAGGCTAAAGTCTTTAAACCAGGGGTCCCCACACATCCGAGGGGATGGGGGGCCGAGGTCAGTTTGTAACAGAAAAAGTGTGACGATCGCACGGAGGCCTGTAAACATAACTGTAAACATTTATTGTTTCCAGAACGCAACACATCCCGGGATCTTCACAGAAAGAAAAGTCAGGAAATAAATAATAACCAAATAACCCTCTCTGGTTATCATACTTGTCATTGTGACGGGATTCTTAGTGTCGGCGTAAATTGTTGTATTCTATGAATAGCGCCTCCTGACAGATGAGACAAACAGCCTTTTCTTTGCATTGAACAAGAAGAGAAATATTCTGCATTCTGAATCAATTCTTCTCTTACCTAACTAGCGTGGCCAGACTGAAAACAAATCACAATGCGTCTCTGGTATTGTTCAGGGGGCCGCACTAGTTTGGGGACCACTGCTTTAAACTGTCAGCGAGTGCGTTTCTTTTACAGCTACACACACTTACACAGAATCATCACAAAGTACTTTCAGCAAAACATCAAATAAACACAACTCAAAGTACTTCTACACGCTGATGACTGAAGATCAAACTAACATACAAACATCTCACGTTATAATTCATTAACAATAATGAACCTTCAGCAGAGAAGAGACATTTCACACCTTTAACGTTGTTGATCGCCAGATGTGTGAACAGCTGTTTTAACCAGCTTTTATATGAACTTATATGTAGGATCATCAAAGCTGTGTGTGTGTGTGTGTGTGTGTGTGTGTGTGTGTGTGTCGTAGACCTTGAGATGGACGGACTGACCGTACGACACAAACCTTGAGTCACTTCATAACGGCTTCACTGTGTTCCCTTGTTGTTAGTTATAATATACAAGTATCATTAATGAATACATCTTACACATTATATATACCTTTTACTTCTATAATGGAATTTATTCTGACGTATTAATACTTTGCTGAACTCATCAACTTTCTCTCGTTTTATGTCTCCCGGACATAAAACTCATCTTTAGAGAACGTAGAAGAACAAGTTGTTGTTCTACAATCTACAACGAGTTGTTACATCACATTTTGCCCGGGGAGCAACTAGGGGTTCGGTGTCTTGCTCAGGGACACTTCGGCATGGAACATGAGGCAGTCAGGACTCAAACCACCAACCTTGTGCTTCCCAGCACACCCTCTCTACCCCCCTGCGCCTGCGCCTGTTATTGTTGTTGTTGTTTGTGTTTCTTACAGCTACGACCACGACCACGTCAAAGAAGGAGTCCAGAGCCGGAGACGCCAGAACATCAGAGTACAGCAGCACCAGCTCTCTGACACACACACACAGACAGACACACACACACACACACAGACAGACACACACACACACACACAGACAATGGTTAAATAAAAGAAAGTGCGTACAAATAGGAAGTATTGGAAATCTTCATTCTAGTAAATAGTAAAAAAACAAACATTTTAGAAGATATTAATCCTTTGTTTAATCCTTTCATTTAATAAATGACATGTTTCTGTGGTTCCACTTGTTGCGTCGTTACAGTAGTCTGAAGTCCAAGGTTTACAGTGTTTACAGCTTTTTATAATGATAATAAAAATAAAATAGAAATTCCAAGAAAAACTATTTGGACTTTTTTGGGAGAAAATAAGACACAAACCGGTAACAATGGCTCATCGTCACGGTTACCATCAGAGAGAACGACTAATAAGCATAAATATATAATGTGCTGGCTGACCTGCAGGTCTTCATCTGTCTGCTCCTCAGGTCCTCGTCCTCCTCCTGAAGACTCAGAGACACGCAGCACAGATTCTTCAGGGCAGGAAGCCCGAGGAAGAACACGGAGGCCTGGACCCCCCCGCTCATCCTGCACACACACATACGTGTCCATAGGATCCATATAGGTGATCAGTACTACACATTGTGTGGACAAGAGGAAATAATCATAACAAAAGACTGTTAAGTAGGAATACCATTTTAAGTAATACGATTTGGAGCCAACCGGTAAGAGTTAAGACATGGGCATTAAAACCAATTTTGAAAGGTTAGAAGAAAAATAAATAAATAAGAATAACAGATAATAACATGACCGGCGAGTTAAAACCAATAGACAAGTTAGAGATAATATAAAATAAAACTAAACTACAACTAAATAGTCTAGTTTAAAACAAGTCGTAGTTGTAATAATTGATGATTCTTTCATTTCTGGAAGTCTCCAGTCGCTTTTTACCGTTTACATAATAATTAATCTTTTAGTTACTGCTAACAGAGGCTAACAAGAAGGTAATGGAGTTACTGCTAACACCAGCTAACAAGAAGGTAATGGAGTTACTGCTAACACCAGCTAACAAGAAGGTAATGGAGTTACTGCTAACACAGGCTAACAGTAAGCTAATGGAGTTGCTAACACCAGCTAACAATAAGCTAATGGAGTTACTGCTAACACCAGCTAACAATAAGCTAATGTAGTTATTGCTAACACAGGCTAACAAGAAGGTAATGGAAGTACTGTTAACATGAGTGTGAAATCCGTATTAACCTCTTTTTACTTTGATATTTAGTTCGTCAAAGTCATACTTACGCTCGCACGGGACCAAGATAAAGCTATGATTTAAAGTATTGTTGTACTTATTTAACGTCAATTTAACAAAATTAGTTAAAAAATTGCAAAGAAAAATAGTTAAATATTGCTGAGTCATGATGGGATGAGCACTCACTCTGCTTCGATTAACCAACCCAAATCAAAAATTCTCAAATATTGTACTTTTTAAGCTTTAGTCACACATATGGACTAATAATACAACATTCAACTAATAAAATAGTATGTTACAACAATGCTCTCACTTCTGCCACCACACATCTGACATTAGTTTTTCTTCTAACAACATCAGGAAGTGTTTATTTGTAAAGTTCCCGGTGTTCCTGTGGAGTGATACAACGTGTAAATAAACGAGCTATGACCTTAAATCAGTGGGTTTTCCCGCCAGAGCGCTGGGGAAGATAAGGGTCGCATGACAAGGAAATCCTAGAGAGTAAAACAGGTGAACCTTCACCCCCGTCACCGCCCATAGCCTCCCCGGTGACTGACAGCTCATCAGACCAATAGTCACTCTGCAGGAACTTTGAAGCGTTCGTGAAGCAGCCAGAAATACATGTCCTATTTCCGGAAACCAACTTGTCAAAACAAGATGGAAAAGTCTCAAAAGACGAAATGTGACCGGAGCTGACACAAGAACCCAATTGATACAAAAACAGAATGGAGGTAAAATAAGTCAGACAAAGTGTCTGGAAGATGTCGGTGTTATTTTTATATTATTCTAACATTCAAGTTACTTAGCTAATATTTGAAGATATTAATGCTCTCACGCTCTATAAACGTTTTGGAATTATTTCCGGAAAAAAATCTTTTTAGCAGCAAGAGGACTGAAAATATGTGAAAAAAAAACAAAAAACGGTGGCTCGATTTACAGGATGAACCATGCACGCGTTGAACATAGTATATAATACAATCTAATGGTCGATTCTTTAAAGTGCTAAAAAATAATATGTGACAGTAAAGACCTGAACCATAAACATGTTTTAGAACAATTGGACTTGGACTTTAAGCTCGGAGAACTTCTTAATCAGAAGATTTAAAATACAATGATACATTTGAAGGTTGGAGCGCCACGATTCAGTTGCCACACGCGATTAAACGAGACTTTTACTCTGAAAATACTTCCCGCACTACTCGTGTTGTGTCGCACTCAGCTGGCCGTCCCTGAACTCACCATGGGCTGGATGTCGGGGCTGTTATCGGTAGAAACTGGGGTAAATGTCGGTGTGTTTGCACCCTGCGGGATTACACAACCGCGAACAGGCACTTTAACGACTCCCGTCGACGGTCAGCGGCCACTTCCTGTCTGACGGTCCGACTCGCCGTTCACGCAAATGGGAGAAACGGAGGAAAAAAGTCCCGCAGGAGTGAAATACTTCCGGCTGTCGGAGATCGAGCAGCAGAACACTTTCAAATCCACTTGGATCATCATCCACCACAAAGTCTACGATGTCACCAAGTTCCTGGAGGAGGTGAGCAGCTCGATCTACATCGACACGAAGTGGCCGTGAAAACGTTATTGGGGAAATAAACTGTCATCAGAAGCTGAACAGAAACATTCAACCCAACTTTCGTCTGTTTATCTTTGCTGGAAAATAACTTTAAATAGACGCATTGTTGTTGGCTAAAGACTCTCGCTAAATGTGGCTTTATTTGGCTGAAGTCTGGTGATCTGGTCGGTTCATCGGCTCGATCAGTATCTAACAATCCGCCCATGACTAAAGTCCACGGCAGCAGCATTACAGGATTAAATATAGCTATTTAATGGTGAGGGGAGACTTTAAATCAAAGACTTATTTAGTTACTGATCTGACTTTATACAGAAGACCACAGGGATACATGAATATATTTTTATACTCTGCAAAATGATTCTGTGACATAATACGCCTGATAAACCGCTAGCGCTGCGACCTTTGATCTCGTGGCCCCAGTGACTCGCCCTGTGACATTTGACCTCCGGGCCGAGGCCCCGTGACCCGGCGGCCGGCGGCCTTGTGAAGCCGCTCAGCCATTGGCCGACCCGGGGCACGAGAACAGACACACATAGAATATAATCAGTATTATGCTGAATGATAAGCGAGCCGGGCACAGAGAGTGCGTTTGTTTCTCACACCAGCACCCCGGAGGAGAGGAGGTGCTTAGGGAGCAGGCGGGAGGAGACGCCACCGAGAGCTTCGAGGATGTCGGTCACTCCAGCGACGCCAGGGAGATGTCCGTCGCCATGGTGATCGGAGAGCTGCACCCGGTCGGTGTCTGTCCGTCTGTCTGTCTGGGGGGGGGCGGGGCAAGGACGTCATGTGACCTAACTGTCTGTCTCTCTTAACTGTCTGCAGGGATGATCGACACAAGATCGCCACACCTCAGGTAAGTGAGTGTGTGGGTTGTTCTCCAGTTGCATCATGGGAAATGTAGTTGCTGGAAACCACCGTATGTATGTATGTATATTATATTACATTACAGATCATTTAGCTGACATCCAAAGCGACTTACATTACAGTTTTAACCCGTGGCTCTTACATTTTGCCCGGGGAGCAATTTTTTTATATATATATATATATATATATATATATATATATATTTATTATTATTATTATATATATATATATATGTATATATATATAATGAATTTGTTTAAATCAGATGTAAATGAAATAGTTTTTTCTGCTTTGGTCTGAAGATGTTTGTTTCACAGGAAACCCCTGTGACCACTCTGAAGGACAACGCCAGGTACACACACTCACACACACTCACACACACACCAGGTCTCCTAGTTGGTTGGTTAGTTAGTTATTAACTAGCTGTGCTTCTCTTACAGTTGGTGGACTAACTGGTTGATCCCCGTTTTGGCGGCGGCATTCGTCACACTGATGTACCGCATCTGCATCTCAGAGTGACATCATCACACATGCAGCTGTGATGTCATCAGTAGGCCGCTGCACCAGCCAATGGCAGCGAGGATGGACCAACCACCAATTAAACCAGTGGAATAAATCATCTCTTCTACTCTGATTCCAGTATGAAGCTACCCATGATGCACTTCACCCTGTTAAACCAACCAATTGGCTCGCAGTATGCTAATGAGTCGTTGACACACTGAATTACCGATTTTTGTTGAAATCATGTAGAAATGCAATGGATGTATCATTCTTATCATTTTATTTCTCAGTGATTTGAAATGATTTCCTGAATATGCGATCAGCAGCTAGTCATGTGACCTGCAGTCGGGTCCCATCACAAGATGAATCATCTGTACGAGGTTCCGAACCACCACCTTGTTACGCTTCTTCAGTAGGAAAGTTACTGTACTAAATGACTTTGTAATGCTTTGATTTATTAAAATGAGTCCGAGACTCTGTTCTTCATTCTCTTCTCCGACCTTTGACCCCAGCAGAGCCTTAGAGATAGAAAGCTTCCCTGAGAGGGAAGGAACTGTTGAGTCTGCTCAGTAGAAACATGATAAAGGGTCTCTGGGGTCACAGAAGGGCCACTGGCTCAGAACAGAGGGATTAATAGCAGATAAAAGCGTTGGAGGCGACCGCACCACTGCAGGCTGGCAGTCCGTCTCTTGGGGGGACGTTTGTATAAAGTCCTCCACTGTGGACCGGTCCACTTTGTCCCAGTCTGTTGGACAGTCCGGACCGGTTCATGCTCCTCACGCAGTTTAAACACACAGTTTTCTTGTCTGCTGCGTGCAAAGTCAACGCTTGGGGGCGTGTTGTGGCGAGCAGGGCGCCGGTGAGTCCCCTAGTCCTGGGCTCAGGTAGATCTCTGGGAAGGGGTCTGCAGGGTCCGGCTCCACGTCTCTCTGGCTGTAGTCTAGTTCCTCCGTCAGCCTCTGGTTCCACAGTGCCAGGAGCCTCCTCGCCACCCGGCAGCCCAGCAGAGACTCCTGCCTGGCCTGATGCGCCCCCATCAGGCCTGGGGGGCCACTGCTCCTGCTGTCCAGCGTCGCTCTGTGGATCAACAGCCAGTTCAGAGAGGAAGACAGCGGCACCTTGTAGATGAAGACACGCAATAAAGTTTAAAACATTAGAATCGATTAAAAACAGAGCAGTCGAACCACAACTAACACCCAATAAACCACGTTGAATTAATACACACACACACACACGCACACTCACACACGCACACACGCACACTCACACACTCACACTCACACACACAGGCAGATTTACTGTTTTACAAATTAGACAAGTTAACTAGTTTAATAAGTTAACTAGTTTAACTTACGTCTGTGCACGTGCCTGATGAAAGGGTCCAACGCCTTATAAGGAAACGGGCTGCTTCCGGTTTGTAACGCACCTGTTACATGACGTTCACAACAAAGTGATGGATTACAGTGACGTCACTTCTCTCAGCTGAGCTGAGAACGACATGAAAATACTTCTACTACAAGGTGAGAATACTTATGTACTTTTACTGCATAGTTCTGAGAATACTTTTGAAGGAATTGTATTTGTAATGGAGTATTACGGTGTTGTATTTGTACCTCTACCTGAGTAAAGTACGGCAGTACTGAATTGCATTTACGTGCACAGACTCGCGATTGTTGTTTGCGTGGTTGTTGTTTGCTGATGACGTATTTCCGCCCGCCGCACGCTACAGGTGATGATGTGACGGTGCGCGTGTCCGCGGGGGGGGGGGGCATCTATATACAAGCCGCCCGCACCGAGAAGGCCACGGACTCCTCGGCGGCCTCCTGCTCGCCTCCCCGGATCCACGCCGCAGGAGGGACGCGCTCTCCGGGTGAAATGAAAAACGGCCTGAAGGAGGAGGAGGAGGAGGAGGAAGGAAACCTGGACAACAAGGTGGACGCTTCTCACCTGGAGAGGTTCATGAAGGACCGGAGGAAAGCCCGGTCCCTGCCCGCGTACCCGGCTGCGCTCTTGGCCGGCGTCCCCGGGAGCAACGGAGGGAAGCACGTAAAGTTCGCCGACTCCATGGGGCTGAACCTGGCCAGCGTGAAGCACTTCAGCGCGCTGGAGGAGCCGCGGATCCCCAGCAAGGTCCTGTCCCGGCACAGGAGCTTCCCGCCGCCGCAGGACTTCCTGAACGACCTGTGCCAGAGCTTCAAGTCCAGCCTGGACACGGACCGGCTGGTGGCCTGCTTCCCAGAGCCGCGGGACGCGGAGCGGCGCGTCCAGCGGCTCCGCGTCTGCCTGGAGAAGGTCGTCATCACCCAGTTCGACCTGCGGGGCCAGATCCGGGTCCGGACCAGCTGCACCAACAAAGAGGTCGGACTCAGGTACACGTTCAACGACTGGCTCTCCTACGTGGACGCACAGGCTCTGCCCGGCGCCGCGGACCGGCCGGGGGGAGAGGGGGAGCGTTTCGGCTTCACCGTGTACACGCCGCCCTTCATGGACCCCAGCTCGGCCGTACACTTCGCCGTGTACGTGCGGAGCGAGGAGGGGGAGTTCTGGGACAACAACGAGGGGAGGAACTACACCCTCCGGTACCGCTGCATGCCCGGCACGTCGCCGCGTTTCGGCGCCGCGTTCGACGCCTACTGAGCCCGCGTAAAACCTCCAAATCTCTCCACCCAACCTACAACTCTGTGCGTAAAACCTCCAAATCTCTCCACCCAACCTACTACTCTGTGCGTAAAACCTCCAAATCTCTCCACCCAACCTACTACTCTGTGCGTAAACCTCCAAATCTCTCCACCCAACCTACTACTCTGTGCGTAAAACCTCCAAATCTCTCCACCCAACCTACTACTCTGTGCGTAAAACCTCCAAATCTCTCCACCCAACCTACTACTCTGTGCGTAAACGCGGTTATGTCGCGCACGCCGTGTCCCACCTGCTTAATGACACTTTTTGAGGTCAGACAACTTGTGTTTAGTCAGAAGTTGACATTTAGTTTCTCTTCTATTGGTTCAAGTCTCATGGCAACAACACAGTGGACATTTGGGCTTTTGGATGGGGCACAAGGTTGGTGGTTCGATTCCAGACTGGCTCATGTTCCATGTCGAAGTGTCCCTGAGCAAGACACCTGACCCCTAATTGCTCCCCAGGCAAAAATGTGAAAAGCCATGAGTTTAAAGTGTAATGTAAGTCGCTTTGGATAAAAGCGTCTGCTACATGACCTGTAATGTAATGTAATGTGATGTAATGTGATGTAATGGATGGACCTTCATTGAGGACTTGCTGGAGTAAAACGTGCCTCGCTTTCACTGCTGCTCTGTGGACCAGAACCCGGATGTAGAACATTGTCCAAATAAGAGGCGATATGTTTCTGGGCGTGGCTCATTAATGAGAATGTGATTGGTGTAAAGAATCTGATCTCTGAACGTTTGTGTGGACGATGAAGTGTTTTGACAAAATGAACAATCAATAAACTCTTCTGATGGATGTTTGTTCTTTTTGCTGCACTACGTCCACCAGCTGGAATCCATTTTTAATATTCAACATAACAGATCAGATGATAGAATATCCTGAAAACATCTTTGATCAAACCGATTATCACCGTGACTATAAGAACAATCAAGCTGAACTAAGATTTGCTGTTTTTTCCTCAGAATTCTTCTGATCACCAGAAAGAACCTCGTGCACCAGCGTCACAATATGACGTCATTAGAAATGAGCTCCATCTTCATCAGCTGATGCATCAAGATGAAAATATTTATTACAGTCAGGAACTATTCTGCATGATGTGGTCTTTCTACGTTAGTGCTTTTACTGCAGCGGGACATTTAGCTACTTCCTTCTGTTGAAATCGATCAGGCTCATAAAGTTTAAATTAAAATCACAGAAACTTTTGTCTGTGAAATCTGCCAAAACCAGAAGACGGATCAGTCCAGTACGGCCTGTCCTCCTGTCTGTCCCCTTTACCCAGGGGTCAAAGTTCAGGAGTCCTCTGAATACATTCTGTTGACCAACCTGACAACATCTGTTTGATGTGTCGACACAAGCAGAGGCTCAAAGGGATGAAGTGACCTGCAGGACAAGAACATGACGCCATATATTCTACCAGATCATACACATTATATGGCAGATATATATATATATATATATATATTTATATATATAAATTATATAAATATTATATATATATATATATATATAATATTTATATATATAGATAGATAGTAGAAAACTCCTTTATTGACTAACATTCTATAGGCAGTAAAAATCATGATTTTAACAAAGCGGCAATGAAGAGCAAACTGCTGCTGCCGCTCATTTGTAAGTATGGATCTATACATTACCCACAATGCTTAGCTGCATGCTCTGGAGGATTCACAGCCAAATGCTCAGACTGCAGGATAAGTTTATCATGTTCAGGTGCATCTTGGGTGTTGTAGTTTTCCTAAATCAATTTGAAGACAATTGATCTGGATTTTGTTGTGAGGATAAAACGTATTAAAAATAAAATAACAGAAACATGACAAAGTCCCTTCAGACGGCCTCGGGCTGAAGGCCGAAGGTCTGATGAAAGCGCTCCTGCTGATTGTGCAAGTGTGCGTGTGCGTGTGTGTGTGTCGCTCTAAAACCAACAGACGGATCTATTAAAAGCCGCGTGGGTCAGTCACCTCCTCCACGCCGCCGCGGTGTGTGCGCCGCCTGTGGACTCACACAGCAAATATGGATTTGTGTGTCATCACGACGTGGAAACGATTCTGTACACGAGTCCTCAGGTTCTCAGATTCAATGTCAACATTTCATCAAACGCACAGTGCAAAACAAATCCTTAGGAGTTAATTCACACTTTAAACTGACGTGTAACATTTAATAACATTTTCTCCTGTCAATTAGAAATAAATGAACTGATCAGAAACACGAGTGAATATCGTAGTTCTTTTATAGTTCAGATAATTACACGACTTGTGCGTTAAAAAAAAGACATAAATCAGATCAATACGTTCTGATCGTTACTGTCTGAGCCATTTCTTATTAGAACATCATCAATATATCTATACATTTATGCATCGATCAATAATCAGAAAAAATAAACTCCACAGCTTCGCCCGTCAGCCGTCTCCCACAATGCATCTGTGCCCTGTTTGCCGGGGTCAGTCGTCCACGACGCTCTTCTGGGTTGCGTACATCCTCCCGATGGACACCTGCAGGGACGGAGACAAAGACACTTTTAAGTCTCTGCTCCACCACCAGAGGGCGCACTCCCTCCACAGAGAAACAGTAAGGGGGGGGGGGGGGGTCTGAACCAATCAGCTTGCAGGAGGCTCGGCCCTCAAAGGGAAACAACCAGGAAAAACAACATCTGATGGAGAGCTCTGGATTTCCCTGACAGACAAATGTACCAGGTCCATTTCTAGATGTGGTCCAGATCCACGATGAATTAATAATGAGCTCCTTTCATGGTCGGCTGTCCAGCCCTGATACCGAGTTACACATGGAAGGTCACGTCAGACCAGAGGTTTGACCTCAATCAACCAGGGACTCGACTTCTCCTCCACCGGACCGGACCGGACTCCGTCTCCAGACTTTCCACTCGTCACTCTGGCTTTGAAGAGGACTCAACGGGGACCAACTCCTCCACACAGATCGCGTCCCCTTGTTTCCTGTGGAGGTCTGTGATGTCTTTGTGTCCACAGAACATCTCTCATCTGAGGTTCTACGTGGCCGCTCGCCGTGGGACGGACAGACTCGCTGCCTTGCTCAAGGACGCCGGGGCGGTGGAAGTGGTTCCGAAGGACGGAGTCTCCGCATCTCACACGTCCTGCGGCTTCCTGTCCTGCTAATCCCGCCAATTAAATCACTCGCTTTTGTTCTCCCACTCAGACCCCCCTCAGTTCCCCCGTTTGTCCCTGCTGGGTGTGTGTGTGTGTGTGTGTGTGTGTGTGTGTGTGTGTGTGTGTGTGTGTGTGTGTCTGCGCCTCAATGACAAACTGCACCATCAAATCCTAATAATGTTTTTTCTCTCGGTTCTTCCTGAACTATCAGTAAATGTGAGGGACGGAGGACGGAGCTTCCAGGGTGGAGCAGTTCAGCTCGTTTGACTGCTTCTGAAGCCTAAATGAATCCTGAGGACAATACGGATTATTCTGATCTTCAGAATAAAACCTGATCTCAAATTAATCATATTGACGGATTGGAGATGTTAAATAATTTACTGATGTTCTGTGATTTTTTCAGATACACAAATCAACAGTTCTTCATCACCTGAACAGAAGACGACGGGAACAAAGTGGTCTTCAGAACATGCTGCTCCCTCTCCTCCTCTAACTGCTGTTACTTTGAAAGGTTAACTCAATCAGCAACAGACAATCTCGTTGTCTCGGAGAACAATTCTGACACGAAGACACACTTCAATCCGATACTACGGCGGGTATGACCTTTGAACACACACACACAGACACACACACACACACACACACACACACACACACGTTCTTACCACAGCATCTGTCTAAGTGTGTGTGTCTGTGTGTGTGTGTGTGTGTGTGAGAGAGCGCCAGTCTTCTTTAAACAGGACCAATGGGACGTCTTCATTTACAACCCCCTCTTTCTGCTACAGTATCTGTAACCTTGGGAATGTCCGTCATTAGGTCCCACCCCCGGCCTTAACGAGCCCGTCTGCAGCATCGCCTCGCTGATTGGACACAAATGAATCACGACCAATCAGCCGTCGGGCTCGACACCTGGCATCGGCCAACGCGGCGCGGTGAGAGGAAACACACACACACACACACACACAGTCGGGACTCACAACAAACTAATGCAAATACAATTATTGTTAAATGTGTCAGGTAAAGCATGCAGGTAATGTGATAACGACAAGAGGACAAAGGAGAATAATCCCTGTGTGTTCTGGGGAGAAGTGCGTTATATAAAGAGAAGGTGCATCAGCCTGTGTGTGTGTGTGTGTGTGTGTGTGTGTGTGTGTGTGTGTGTGTGTGTGTGTGATGCGATCCCACGAGTCGGCGTGGGCGAAACGCAGAGGAGACGACGCGCCGTAAATAAACCGTATAAAACTACGGGTATGGCGGCTGGAATGAGTCACGCTGCGGTGGGAGTTTGGGATAAAAATGAGATGCAGCAGGATCGGTTTGTTTTATTGAAACAAAAAAACAGCTTCTTCATTTTTTGTATTCGTGGGCCGCTCAGCATGAACCTTAATCATCATCATTTTTGGCAAAGTAATTATATTTATTGATCCTCCCCATTTCCCTCTGACGACCGTCTCCTGTCACCCAAATTAGATCATTCAAGTGTGTGTGTCTCACCTGTCTCTTTATCAAAGCCAGTGTCTGCTGTCCCTCCACCACCAGTCTCTCCACAGCTCTCGGATCCTCCAATGCCCCGTTGGCCCTGAAGGCATCACGCACCCGCCGCAGTGCATAGGTCCTGCAAAAAAAAAAAAAAGGTTATGGAAAAAAAATAATAAAAAGGACAAATACGCTCAATGGAGACACAAAGAAAAACAAGGTTTATTAAAAATAACCCCTGTGCGCTGAGATCTTAAATCACTGACAGATCAAATCAGTTGTTTATCACTGAGGTCCATCTGACTGTAAAGAGGGGAGGGACAATATTCTAAATGTTAAACTAATATAGATGATTTTAGGAGTATTAAATACAATGAAAGCTTCAATTAAGAGGTAAAAAACGTAATTATATTTGAAGACACAACCTCATAGGAGGTTCACTTCAACCGTGTTTCCACCTCATTTATTTGTACCTCCCTTAAACACAGCGAGATTAGAGTAGTTTTAAAAAGGTCTAATTCAAAGTTTAGGATCTCAGTGTGAACGGAACCAGAACCAAACTCACTTACTTTTGGCTTCAAACCTGAACACAAAAAAATGAATTTAAAGTTAAAGCTCAGTAAAAGTCCGAGTGAGGCCCGATAGGAGCCGACCAATCAGGTCAAAGGTCAACGACGCTCTGAACAGCAGAAAGAGTGAAGAACAAACTGCTGCGTCACAAAAACCCCAACAGAATGAAGCACTTCCTCCGTTAATTAATTAAAATAATCACACTTTTATTGGTATTCCCAAGAATGTGGCTAAACCTGTCGCAATATCAGTAAAATACTCTTCATAAACGTCTATGCAATTCCTTCATCCCTCTTCCTCATCATCTACTTCCTTCCTTCATCCCTCTTCCTCATCATCTACTTCCTTCCTTCATCCCTCTTCCTCATCATCTACTTCCTTCCTTCATCCCTCTTCCTCATCATCTACTTCCTTCCTTCCTTCATCCCTCTTCCTCATCATCTACTTCCTTCCTGCCTTCATCCCTCTTCCTCATCATCTACTTCCTTCCTTCCTTCATCCCTCTTCCTCATCATCATCATCTACTACTTCCTTCATTCCTCTTCCTCATCATCTACTTCCTTCCTTCCTTCATCCCTCTTCCTCATCATCATCATCTACTACTTCCTTCATCCCTCTTCCTCATCATCGTCTTCTTCTACTCATGAATTACTTTCTTCCTCAACCCATCAAACTACAAATCATCTTTACGCAGAATACTTTTTGAATAAATATGCTACCAACATCCAGCGCAACTAATACAACACACGACTACTGTTAACATAGACAGACACTAAAAATTAAGTATCTGAGTATTTATTCCCATGCTGTGTTTTATAAGCATCGAGAAGCGGTTATGACACTGACATGAGTCCCATGTAAACACTGCACACTGAGCCGTTAGCCGCTCCATTAGCATCTTTTCCCGCCGCTGACCGCCGCTGTAAGCAGGCCGAGAGGTTTGTTCGTACTGGTTGGATTTCCTCTCTCACCTGTAGTTGTACGAGGGGAACTTCTTGCTCTCCGTCAGCATCATTCTGTACAGAGAAATGACCTGCGATCGCACGGCGGCCGCCATGTTGTTGCTATGCTTACGACGCTGCTACTCGACCGTGCAACAGCCCCTTGCAGGAGGCCCCCTCAGTGACGCCAGTGACGTCTACCGAGCGCCTGATCAAAAATAGCTAAATATATAATTTTGTCATCTACCTGCATTACTTATTTAGTATCAAATCCACATTGAAACAATGTATGTTTGTGAAAGTACTCCAAAAGTTCAGTTCGGTAAATTTGGAATACAATGTACATTTTGGCGCGAGCACAGGCGCGTCCCCGCAGACTTTGCAGACCAGCGACAGGAGGTGAGTTAGCTTTGCTCATGTTAATCTCTTATTAAGTCTACAAACAACGTACAACACACGTATGACGCTTTTCTATAAATTGGCTATATTATCAGGTTGTAGCGGCTGACTTGGGACTAAATCGCGGCAGCATGTCGGCCTAACACCGGGCTTTTATTACCCTCTAAACTATCCTGTTGTGGGTTAGCAGGTTAGCTACAATGCTACAAACGCCAGTGACAGGACTGTCGCTTCAATGAAAGCCTCTTTCTAAGAGCCTTACAAAGAGATAAACTGCACGCGCACCCGATGACACATCAGGGTTGACACTGTTCCTATGTCCCTTTAAATGTCCCTGGCCCTAGGAATGTCTCTTTAAATGACCATGTGGCTTTGAATGTCCCTGTAAGCAGCGTACCGGTGTTGAGGACAGTCTCTGACTTTTGACCTCTGGGGCCTTTTGAGTCCTTTTGGTCCAGCAAAGTGAAACACAATGAAGCAAACTAGAAATACACATGAGTACATTGTGCGTGTGTGTGTGTGTCTGTGTGCGTGCTCTTTAGCCGTGGATGTGTGAAAGGTCAGAGACACTTCCTGTGTGTTGATGTCCTGCTGTCTTTTAGTGTAAAGGTCAATGGCAGCGCCGTGTGTGCGTGAAGTAGAAGACGTGATGCGTCATTCTGCCTTTTATTTTGTCCTTGTTGATTAATTTGCGTGTTACTTGTTTAATTATCAGAATCGTTCTGATCGCATTAGTCGAGCAGAGTGACGGATGATCCATACAAGATTCCTTTAGTCCGTCTCAGCTGTCAATCACGTCAGTGTAGCCTCGCTGTCACGCACACGCATGCACACGTGTTTACGTGAGAGTTGTTGACAACTGAGAAGGTGAAATATTTCAAGGAACAGACGGGAAATACCTTTTCATTTATACACAGCAACAGATTTACATTTGTTTAGCTATTCAGATTGGAGATTAGAGATTTAATAATCTTGTGTTTTTCTTCCTCTGTGGAAGTGCTCGTCTCCTCCGGTCTCGCCGGGGTCCAAACCGGTGGAGGTGCAACTCTCAGGTCCTCAGAAGGCTTCAGGAACTTGCGTGTGAGTTGTAAAGTATAATTTAGATCTACTGGAGTTTGTCTCCATGAAGACACCTTCTGGATTACTTTCTATCGATCTGTGTGTGGAACACTTCTATCTCTCCAGCTGGAACAGATGTGGCAACAGTGTTTATATAAGTCTTGTTAGAACTACTTCAAGAGAACAAGAGGCTCCCTTTCAAATAACAGCCACCACTGAAGATAGACCCAAGGGAAACTGTGTGTGTGTGTGTGTGTGTGTGCGTGTGTGTGTGTGTGTGTGTGTGTGTGTGTGTATGTGTGTGTGTGTGTGTGTGTGCATGTGTGCATGTGTGTGTGTGTGTGCACAGTATATTTCAGCTCTCCATCGTCTCTCTAACATGTTTTTGTGCTGCAGCCAGGATTTACACTCTACACACTCCCTGTCTCTCTCTCTCTCTCTCTCTCACAGACACACACACACACACACACACACACACAGCATGGTCACTCAAATTACACAGAATAAAATAAAAACCAACCATGTGAAGCTCCTTTTATTTAGCTTCAATAATCATATCGC